TCTCTCTCTCTCTCTCTCTCTCTCTCTCTCTCTACCCCCTAATATTGTTTAGATGATGCATATAGTTAGCCCAGGCAACTTATTGTGTTTTACCATGTTCATTTTGTGTGAAGTGATCCTAAACCCAAATCCGAGTAGTTAACTTATTGCGTCCAAATTAACAAACTCAAACCCATTCGCAAATTTAGCATGCTGTGTTGTGTTTATCCATTTTCTCTGTTATCCTTTTCTTTTGGGTCAAAAAAAATGTAAAAAGTTATAAATAATATCGAATTTATAGGTTAAAATATTTTTCAGAAGAAAAAAAAAAAGTATGTTTCCTAAAGATAACATGGCACTATCGTGTTAAACGAATGGACGCTCACCTGACCAGTTAATAAATGTGTCATTATCATGTCAACCTATTACTGACCCAATCAGATAATGCTAGATCGAAACACTTAGGGCATGTTTGATAACCATTTCAATTTTAGTTTTTAGTTTTCATTTTTCATTTTTTATAGTAGAGTATAGAGGAAAATGAGAGTGAGAATGAGAGTGAGGATGAGATTGAGAGAGAGGATGAGAGGAGAGGATGGGAGGGAAGAATAACAAAAGTGAAAACAAAAACTTGAAAGTGAAAACAATTTCAAATTGATTTCAGTTTTTAGTTTTTGTTTTCACTTTTGTTACTCCTTCCTCCCTCCTCTCAATCCCATCTTCACTCTTATTCTCACTTCCATTCTCCCTCGTTTTCATTTGTACTCTAGCACAAAAAATGAAAACTAAAAACTAAAATTGAAATGGTTATCAAACGGGCCCTTAATGTTTCATTTCATTGTGCCATGTTATCTTGTCATATATGATTTTGCTACATACAGAACTCCTCGAAGGACTAATCTCCTCAGAAATTTGTTAAGGAGCATCATGTTATGCAATGGGCTACAGAAGCATGGGATGCAGAAGTATTTAATCAGTCATTTCATGATCTTAGCACTGAAGATTTAGGTTCTCCATAGACGTCCTGTTTTCTTGTATACGTGGTCATCCTTCTTCGATTTTTTTTTTTTTGAATTTATATTTTATTAATTGTCATAATAAGTGAAATGTAACTTCAAAGTGAACAAAGCTCAAGAATGTTATGCTTCAAATCTTTAAATCTGGCTCTGTTCTCATTAAAACAGAGAGATTGAGGAGTCTGATTACCAGGAAAGTTAGAGTTGATAAGCTATACTAGAAATGTTTGTGCATAAGAATACTTATTATAGTAGATGATCGGATCTAGTACAAATTTGAATGTAATATTTGTGTACCTCAGATTACATTATAGTGTAGTAAACTTACAGGAGAGATGAATTAGGTTCTAGCAATTTTGGCAGAAACTTAATGTTGCCCCAGCTAGTTGATGTACTTGTGGTTCAACATGTACTGGAAAAAGGACATCATTTTAAGGAAGATGTGAGTCTGATGTCTGATTTGGTCTGGAAGACATCACTAAGAATATGGCCAAATTTTGAACTTAGAGATTGACACGTAAAGATGAAAATTCGTTGATATGGTTACCTTCTGTCCTGATTATAGGATGCATGAAGTTAATTTACTTGGGTAAAAGCTAACTTCACTTTTTTGTTCGTTCTAAAATAAATTGCAGGATGGGCAACAGGTTTGTCTGCTGGTGAAGGAGATTCGAGTTTGGACTTTTCTTTCTTTAGAGTAGATATTGTTCTCACTGACGCGGGTCATGGTTAGTTTATCTTCTGTTTTTTTCATTTTTAGGTATTCTTATTTCTCCCAACCCCTGCCCCCATTTAGGCTTCATTTCATTTTGGATGAACATTTTTCACAAGTCCTAAGACAGCTTGAAATACTTATCTAACATATTCTTTTTGTAGGGTGGCATTCTTTTACTGGGATTTTAGTTTTCTAGAATATGTTAAACCTTTTGACTATATTGCAGAGCACATGCAAGACATCGTAGGCTTGCTTTTCAAATACATTTCCCTCTTACAGCAGTCGGGCATCTGCAAATGGATTTTCGATGAGGTATAAATATTTTGTATTCTTCTACTGCTGCTATATTAGACAGTGATAGATAGCCTTTTATTTCATGGTTATAATGGAGGGAATTGTACCCTGGACCTAACCTAATCATAACCCATTTCCCCACCCACCTTTATCACTTGGGGCTAACCCTAAGGGATTAATAGAAAGCGTTTCCAGAGGAATAAATTCCATGTCGTGTTTCATGCACTACTAACTTCTCCATCCACACCCAATCTTAAGAACTGATTAAGTGGAAAACTTAGCCCACTTTTTCTGGTTCTCTTACCACAAGGAAAACCGTGTGAACCCCTCAATAGGAGTCCAGCTGCTAACATCATGCCTGTATTTCTTGTATATCATGCATTGACACAGCCTATATGGCTCGACCACATATTGTCATGCCAATTTCCTATATCGGACCTATGACATTCAAAGTAGTGATAGTTTCAGATGGTTTCGATCCTTCCAATTAGAGAGGTTGAATGCTTATATTTCTTGAATAATGCCATGAGATGCACTTTTTTTGGAACATCTAAACACCCCTGACAATGAAAGGTATTTGTATGATCTTATATCAATCATTTAATATAAATTTGATTTAATATGCATTTGAAGCATGCAGTAATATGTCTCTAATATGTCAAAAATTACCCTATATTTATCTCACTTTAGACAATGAACAACAAAAGATGAGAAAGAAAAGAAAGTTATGCTATTTTCTTGAGTTTTACTACATTGAACAATTGGCAGGAAAATACAGAGGGAAATTATAACTCTGTTAGTTTTTGTTTCTATGAGTCAACTTTCTCGCCAAGCCTTGCCTATTTTCTGGGGAAAGTTGGAGGAAAAAGCTTCATATTTTTTATTTCCTGTTCTTTTACATTTAAATAAAAATTGTCCCTGAAAAAAATAATGTAATACTAATCACCAAAAAATAGAAAGATGAATGTGAATGCAATGCTGACTTTATATATGAATATGACAATTGTGAGGCTGACTTTACATATGATTCATCACCATTTTCTCTTGATTTTCTTTGTATATAAACAGTTTTAATCACACTGTGGTTTGAATTGAGGAATAAATTTTTGAGTTATGTTAATTTTCATATTCAAAATTTGGTATGGAAATTGTCTTTCAGATCTTTCTTAGAGACTCTGATATACCATCGGTTTACTGTAGCTTTCTGCTGTTTGCGAGACAAAGTTTCATTATCAGGACAAAATTCAGCCAATTAATTATGTGGTCAGCATTTCGCCAAATATGCAGGTATTCTGGCTTCTTTTTTTTTAACCGTGCTTCTATTCAGTTGTTTGACTTGCTTCTTACTCACATGACATGTTTGTGTCTTTACAAAGAAATATCCCCCAAAAGATTGGCTAGTGAGATCATCCTTGCCTTCTAACTTCAGTACAGATATTATCCAAATGGTGCTGAACAAGTTGTCTCCAAACAATGTTAGGTAAGTCTATCACTTAGTTTGGGTTCTTTACGGGTTGGTAAGGTAGCAGGCTATCTTCCAAGGATATCATGACTTTGTTTAGCTTGGTTCTTTTTATTGGTTTAAACATTAGATTTTGGGAAGATCTGTCCTGGAGTGATGCTCCTTTTTCTTATTAAAGAAGTAATGTTCATTTAATGCTTGAAATTTTTGTGCTTTATCATTTCTATAATAGTAGAAGGGTTGTCTCCATGACCTTTTAGTGTCTTTCTCCAGAAACTGTCTTAACTACTTGGGGTTTTCATTTTTTCTGAAATCTGAATGACGGAAAGGTAGCATTTCATCACAATTCAGGAAAATATTGTGTTTCTGGTGGAAGGGAGAAAGGTAAGGATTAATGGATCTTTTGGGTTTCTTGGGTTATTGTCATGCATTGAGGCTGTGGTGGCGGTTAGTCAGGGAGGCAGGGGTTTATTGGGTTATTCCTCAGTCACATTCAAACATTCTTTGTGAAAAATATTGTGTCTTTTGGTGGTGGAAGGAAGACAACAATTTCGTGGAATCGCACTGTGTTTGCTTCTTTTTGGGTAAATTTGTCCTAAGGCCTGTAAATCCACTTACCATCCTAAGAGGAGAGATTCAAAGCATGTTTTTATAAAAGTTTGGTTAATGTAGTTCTTGCCTTGGACTGTTAACTCATATCTACTTGCATTGTCAAGCAAATGATGTCAACTCATTGCAACCTTGAGTGTTTTGGAAATGGAATATGTCAATACAATCAGAAAATTTGGACTACTGACCCTCCCTTTATTTCTTGGTACCTTTATTTAATTGTAATAAAAGTTTTGTTTTTTATCGAAAGAAGGCCTTTCACTTGGTTTGCCTACGTATAAGCAAAACTTAGTGATATTATAATAGAAGAACCCCGTTATCTGTTATGTTCAGGAATGTTTGGCCCACCTGCATTCACTTCTAAAGAAGTGACCGAAAGACTGCAGTATCACAATCAAGTTCTGATTGCAATTTTTTGAATGTACTTGTGTTGATTGAAACTTATTTAGTCTTGGTTTCTCATAGTGATTCACAGCATTATAACTCATTAATCACTTATCCTCATTTCCTGAGGCTGTCCCCTTTAAATAGCGAAATAGTGTATTAATTATGTGGGAATTTGATCTTTCTATCCATGGCATAGTACTTCTTGATGCTGTCTAAAAGTTTGATCTCAGCAATTAAGAACGTTTTTAGTGTTTCTCATAATTCTCCTATTGTCTACTTTTTCTTTTCTAAGCGATATAAGAAACATAATGACAGTACATAGTAATAAGTTTCCTAATAGGTCCTTTGCTCTACAGAATTTTCTGGGAATCAAAGAAATTTGAAGGTCAAACTAACATGGTTGAGCCATGGTATGGAACTGCTTATTCCATCGAGAGAATTACGGGCTCCATGATACAGGTTGGTTACAGGTTCTATATGTATATCGAGTTTTATATATTGATGAACACAATAGCATTAGCCAGTTTTCTTTTCTTTTTTCCTCTAATTTTGTCTTTTTAGAGTGATAGTAATATGCTGCTTTTTTGTTTGCATCAGTTTAGAGGTATTAGGAATATTTTAAGGGGAGGAGAGGAAAACACTTTTGATCCTGAAA